GGGGGGGGGGTCCTCTCTCAGTGGGCACCTGCTCCCCTTTTCCCAGTGCGTGTGAACATAACCCTCGTGACGGTTTGACGTGTGTTAATTAATTGCAAAATAATAATAATAATAAGGAAAAAAAATGGCCAATGGAAAGAGGCAGCATCCTGCATCTCGTCCTGGACAGCGCGATCCTAAAGATGATTAAATCCAGAAGTTTAAGGGAAAAAAACAACAACCTTGTCCTATGTGGGATATACTTACAGCAAAATGATAAGCAGATTTACTCAGAAGTAAAACCTCGTTGGTTTGAAGGGTGCTGAGTACCTTGTCACAGCGCTTGTTTGCTTTTGTATCCTGTTTCCCCCTGCATCTCGTCCTGGACAGCGCGATCCTAAAGATGATTAAATCCAGAAGTTTAAGGGAAAAAAACAACAACCTTGTCCTATGTGGGATATACTTACAGCAAAATGATAAGCAGATTTACTCAGAAGTAAAACCTCGTTGGTTTGAAGGGTGCTGAGTACCTTGTCACAGCGCTTGTTTGCTTTTGTATCCTGTTTCCCTCCCCCCTCCATATGAGCTGAAAGGCATTATGTGTGGTGGTCTCTCCCTCAGCATCTATTTTATGCTCACAACAACCTTGTGAGGTAGGCCAGGCTAAGAAGAGCAGGTGGTTGGCTCACAGTTTCTGCGCCCCCGCCCCCCCAAGCTGCATGGTAACAAACAGATCCGAATGAGTGCCTTTCCTGGGCCTGTTCAAGTCACTTCACCCAGCGGCGAGGAGATCCTTGGTTGCAGTTCCCAGACATTTTGCCAGCAAATGGTAAAGGATGATGGGAATTGTAGGACAAAAAGAGAGAGAGAGAGAGCTACAGCTAGTTTCCTGTATTCTAACCATTTCCTTCAATTGTTGATTGCAAGCTACTCAGAGTATGAAAGAGACCCCCCTCTTTTGGACTACAACTCCCATGAGTGCTGGCTGGGAGATGTAGTCCAAAAATGTGACACTGCCCATCTCTGAACCTGAAACAAACAGAGATTGATTAGACCGAGACATCTGGAGAAGAAAGCGGTGGGGAGCAATCTTTTGCTGCATCTGTGAAAGAGGGAGGGGGGGATGATGGGAGGAAAGGATGCTGCAGTTGCAGATTGCTGTCCATCCTGTCTTGATGGTTTATGAGATCCTTTCCAATGCCAGAACTTTGCAGTGGCCGTCTGGGACCGAAATAAAGCCTGCAGTTCTAAGCTTGCTTTTTAAGAAGTAAAGTGTGTGGAGTGCAGTTTTGATTTGCTTTCTGGGGGTGTAGCAGTGAACGCAGAACTATAAATGCTCTTCAGTGCCATAGCTAAGCCCCCACTCCAGGAAGAGTCCAGAAATGCAGAGAATGAACGAGGAGCAGGTCTTTTGTAAAGCTAGTGGCTCTTGATTGCCCATTCAGAATACCTCAAATACTTTGCATTATACAAAAGGAATCGCTTGGAATACTACACCACTTTTCTTCCAGCTACTGTGGGAGAATCCCAGTCTGTCCCAGCGACTTTAAAGATTGTGGCTAAGTTCAGAGGAAAGGAGGAAGCCCAGGGCAGATGATGGCATAATCCCTGCTACTCAGAAAGGCTTGGGGCTTTGACCCAGCTAGCCCTTGTTCCACTACATCTCAGCTTGCTCCTTTTCATCCTGATGTAGGACCATGTTGACACATGTAGAAACCAATGTCATTCATTTATTTTATATTTATCTAGCTAAGAAAAGGATACAGCTTTTCAGCCCTATCCTCGTGTTGCCTTGACATCTGTCTTGTGAGGTAGGTTAGCCCAGGAAATGGTAATTGACTTAAGACCATCACTAAGTGCCTGGACTGAACAGGACGTTTGGGACTTAATATTTTGTTTTCAGCTAACAAAATCAGCACGGTCTCCTTACAGCAGGCCCAGCCTGCCTCATAGGGTTGTTGAAGAGAGAGCATCGGTGCAGAACGTTGTACGTTGTCTTAAGCACTATAATGAGAAAAGAATTGAGACTCCCTGATCGCTTCTTGAAAGAAAATCCCCTTACATTTCCCCTCCCCCTTCTTTATCAGCTTTTCCCCCACTTGTTTTGTTTTCTGTGGATTTGTGTGGGGCGGACTACAGCACCCATGATGCTAGCCGTGATAGTAGGGATCATGGGGTTTGTAGTCCGCCAAGCTCTGGGGAAGGGATGCATGTAGATGGGTCTAGGATTGCAGGCAGGCCGTGTTCAGCCTGAACCAAGACATGTGGTGGAAAACCCTTTTGAGAAACTAAATTGGATCCATGCCAATGCTCCAGTTCCAAAACTGTTTTATATATATATATATCTTCCAGCCATGAGCACCTCCGGTACTCTCCTCTGGGCAGTTGATATCTTTGGCAGAGTCTACACGCTGTCAACGACTGGCCAGTACTGGGAGCGTTGTAAAAATGGAGAGCTGGAATTTAAGCGGATTTCTGCCGTCAAACAGTGCTGTTGGGGAATCGCTTGTGACCATCAGGTTTACGTTTACATCCACTCTAACGATGTCCCGATCCGATACCAGGAGGAAACCTATGAAAATCAGGTATGTAAAGTGATTACGGGGATTCTGGATGACATCTGCCCGGCAAACCAAAATCCTAGCAACAGCAGCCCACGTTCAGGCTGTTTATTTCCTTTTTGGAGGAATATTCCGAATGCTGCTGCTGAAGAATCTCGGGGCATTCTGAAGACTAGCACATTTTTTGGGGGGGTGAGGTGTGGAGTCTTTTCATGTCCCATTTGCTCAAGTGGATATATTTTGTGTCTTCAAAGGATCCGTAATTCTTGCACTCAGCCAGAGGTCTCCAGGAGTAACTCACAAAGATAAGTTTTCAAGGAGATAGCTGTAAAACAGCCAAAAAAGAGAGGCTCGGATCTGGAAAAAAAAAAAAGACTTATAGTTCATGGAATGTTGTGCTGAAAAAACTTTATTAATAGCCTTAAAGGGGACTAAATTACCGTATTTTTCGCTCCATAAGACACACCTCTCCATAAGACGCACCAAATTTTTAGGAGAAGAAAGCAGGAAAAAATAATCTGTTTTCTTCGCTCCATAAGACGCACAAACTTTCCACCCCCCTGTTTTGTGGAAAAAAGTGCGTCTTATAGTGCGAAAAATACAATAATAGCCTTAAAGGGGACTACACTAAATTCTACCGTGTACCCCATATCCACGGGACAATATTGAACAATATTTTTATTATTACAAACTTCCTTTCCTAAATTGTATAGATTTAGACCACCTTGTAAGAATGTGCCTCATTTCCTCATTGCTCCTGTGTCCCCTTTCCACCAGCGCTGGAACCCTGTGACCGGCTTCTCAGAGAAATTGCTGCCCAGCGATCGCTGGCAGTGGAGCGATGTGAGTGGGCTGAAGAATCAGAAGCTGGAAAGCTTTGTGCTGCCATCGCCTCACTGGGAGTGGGAATCAGATTGGTATGTGGATGAGAATTTTGGCGGGGATCCTACAGAGAAAGGGGTAGGTGAACAGCATTGCTTTGGGGAATCCACATCTTTGGGATGTATACGTGGGGAGGAAGTTAAAGGGGAGGGTGGGTGGATTGGCTGAGAGGAATTATGGATCATACTTCATTCAAGAGTGGCCATGCTGACTGCGATATTATGGGAGGTATACTTCCCAAATGAAGTTTGAAGGAACCTTTTCCTATCTTTGAGTAAGAATGTGTGGCTTGTTTGTTTGTTTTAAGAAATCTGGTATTTGTTACAGAGGGAGACTGGGCTATCCGAAGACATGTTGTGGAGCCAAGTTCAATGTGAACTGCAAGGCATTACGGGCCTGCCAGTTGAGATTTCTATTACACTCCGTACAGGGTGCCTCTCAGGAGACCACCAGGCCCATAATGTCTTGGGAGTTCCCAGAGAGTTTATCCTTGCTCAGCCACTTCCTCCATTTTCATCAGGTCTGAGAGGCTAGATCCTTTGATAGATTTCTGGATGACTTGGAGTGAAGCGGATTGTTTAACAGCAGCAATGATCTGATTCCCCCACCCATCCTGAATTATATTCCTGAAACGAAGGGAACATGGATTGACCAACATGGATTTTTGTTTTTTCATAGAACAACAATCAAGTTGCTTAGTACTAACAAGTTCAGTGGAGGGCAGGAAGAATGATTAGGGAACCAAGCCCTAGGAGGAAAGACTGAAAGAACTGGGCATGTTTAGCCTTGAGAAAAGAAGACGGAGGGGTGATAGGAGAGCACTTTTGAAATACTTGAAAGATAGTCATCCAGAGGAGGGGCAGGATCTGTTCTCGGTCTTCCCAGAGTTCAGGACACGTAATAATGGGTTCCAAGCTACAGGAAGTCAGATTCAGGCCTGAATATCAGGAAAAACTCCTTAACAGTACGAGAGCAGTACGACAACGGAACTGATTGCCTCTGGAGGTGGTGAGAAAGAGAAAATTGGACAACTATCTATCAGATCTGCTTTGATCTGGAGCAGAGGGTTGGACTCAATGGCCTTATAGGCCCCTCCAACCTCAGTTATTCTATGATTCTGTGACTACTCAAAACAGATTCCTGGGCTAAGAACTGTTTAATTGTATGTGTGTGTCTTTTGCACTACCCTCCAGCTGGCAGATCTTGGGGTTTTCGTAAAAACAAAGTCAGTTCTGCAAGCCTGAAGCCTATGGAACTCTTCATGTGAAGCCTCCCATAAGGATCAAGCTATGTGTTACAGATAGCTTATTAGAAGAAGGAATTCCTTATCCGCTTAAATAGATCTGATTGTCAGTGTTTCATACCTCCCGTAATGTTCCCATGAGCTTGCTTTGGTCGGAATGCAATATTGTACTTCCACCAGGTCCCACTGTTTCCACCAGGACTGTCTCCCCCCTCATCTAGAAAACCCTCTAGGAAGAGATAGATACCTATGTAGAGCAAGGGGTTTTTTTTGTTTGATACCAGACTGGCTGCTGCAGGAAAAGGAGGGGAAAGAAAGTCATCCTCTGATGTATACATTTGGATCTTGGCCTTTGTTTTGTGATGGATCATCAGGAGGTTAGCACAGCCTTCCTTTGCAAGTCGGACCTGAAAGTCTGCTGGGATCATGTCTCTCCCACACAAATAGATTTGCAGCTTCCAATGTGCTATCTGTACTGTAAAGTTTGGCTTTTAACACCAATGAGCTCCAGGACTTGCTTTCAATGAAGCATAGCTCCGAAACACAGCTGTGCGGTTATGTTAGGTCAGCGGTCACAAACTCAGGTGTGGAGATGTTTAGAGATCGATTACTCATATTCTTACATCTTGACCAAACGGGTGTTTCCCACCTCTGACACCTTTTGCCGTTTTTTATTGGCAGGGCTGGACGTATGCTATTGACTTCCCGGCTGCCTATACCAAAGACAAGCGATGGAATTCCTGCGTGCGGCGCAGGAGGTGGATTCGTTACAGGAGATACAAATCGCGGGATTTGTGGGCCAAGGTACCTCCCTTTTCCCCCCTCTTTGTTTCTTAAAGGTACGGCATGTCTGGGGTCAGCCCCGTCCGATTCACATCCGTGATTGATGCTGAGAGAAGGGTGATGCTAAGCTTATCTTCTCCCATTGTAGATTCCATACCTGGAGGATCCCAAGCAACTTCCAGACCCTTTTAATGATCTCTCCGTCGGGAGCTGGGAGATAACCGATGAGCCGGTGGGGCGATTGTCCGTCTGGGCTGTCTCTTTGCAAGGAAAGGTAAGCACTTTTTGCAGGCAGTCACGCCGATGGACTTCACCATTTTTTGCACGTGATAAAACATTTTTCCCATCTGTTGGTCAGTTGTTCCAGGTGACAGATGGAGAAATATTGTGTGTGTGTGTGGGGGGGGGGTTGTTTCCTGATGTTTTTGTACTATGACTCCTATCAGCCAGATATGATCATGAGGGATGATGGGAACTGGAGTTCAATAAGGACTGGAGAGCTGCACATTTTATTATCCCTGATCTAGGTCCGCCTTTGCCTGGGTGTGGACACAGAATTTCATAAAGACGTCTAGTGTTTTTGTCATGCCTCCATTTTCTGTCCCACCGACTTTGGGAGCTAAATTCTAGTGATGGGCAGGCCCATCCAAAGGCCAAAGAGGAAGAGGCATGGCCCTCTGGAGGACCCCTGAATTGGGGATTCAACCCTTCCTAAAGACTCCTCCTGTCTCCTCAGGTGTGGTATAGAGAAGATGTCTGCTGTCACAATCCGGAAGGTTCTTCGTGGGCTTTAATACCTACTCCCGGTGAAGCTGTCCAGATCAGCTGTGGGCCGTATGACCTTGTGTGGGCGACCCTTTGGGAAGGCCAGGCGATTGTGAGGGAAGGGATCGATCGGAACAACCCTCAGGGCAAGTCCTATTTTGTGGTCCCAGAAGAACGTACTTTTAATATATGTATATCTATCTCTGCCATGGAATTTGATAACAAAGGTTTCAGTTAGATCTGTGTTTTCTTTTCTGACAGGAATCTCTTGGACAATCGTGGACTCTCCGGTCACGGAGAATGGAATCTTGCACGTGTCTGTCGGGGTGAACGTGGTATGGGCGGTCACGAAAGACAGGAAAGTAAGTGGGTTTGAGCTTCTCTGGTGATAATAATGCTCAAAAGCTGCAGGGCCGGCCCTGTCATTAGGCAGAATGTGGCTGGGGTTGAAAGCTGGCAGCGGCTGCTTCCTGACCCCCCTCCCCAAGCCTTTCCCTTCTTTTGGAGGAGGGACCCGTGTGTGCCACAAAACCAGTTCCACGCCCACAAAACTGGCAGCGGGGGGGTTGGCCTTCAGGGAATGAAAGAGGAGAGGACCCCTTGACTTGGGTTAAAAATGAAATTCAGTTGGCAGTCCGGTTCGCTTCAGTATATGACATAGGAGAAGACCAAGACTTTGCTTCCAAGTCTGATCTGGATCTTCGTCCATCCCAGGTCTGGTTCAGAAGAGGCGTGAATTCACACAATCCGTGTGGCACCAGTTGGATTGAGATGGTTGGCGAGATGATGATGGTGGGCGTGGGTTTGAATGACCAGGTGAGGCTAACTTCAGACCAGGAAGGGTGGCATAAAAGCCATTGCAAGAAAGGATGAAAAGGCAGAGCTTGCAAGGGGCCTGACAGCTATTCATACCATCTGTTATCTTTCGCTTGACCTCAGCGAGCCAAGTGTGGTGTCGTGGTTACAGTACCGGATTACGACTTGAGAGCTCTGGATGCCACAAATATTCTCAAATTTTCTTATTCTTAGAAACATAATCAATAATAATAATAATTTGTTATCAAGGCAGTTCTGACTTGACAACCCCCTCTTCGCGATTTTACAGGTAGAGAGTACTCAGAAGTGGTTTCCCCTTCTCTTCCTCTAGGGGGCAACCTTGGGACTGTACAGCTGGCCCAAGGCCACCCAGGCTGGCTCTTCTCCCGTGGGATACAGTGGGGGAACCAAACTCCCTACCTCTGGCTCTTAGCAACATAGGGTCCTTCAGAACACTGGGACTGAAAAATCACCAGCTACTGCAAGATGTCTCCTTCCTGCCAAAGAACAAAAGCATAAATGCTCTTTTGATCAACAGCCACATTAGCAGAAAAGTATAAACATTCGTTATTACAAGGCTTTGGCACAAAACACTTCTATGATTTTTTTTTGTCTCACAAAGTCCTGAAATCCAAACAAAATATTAAAAAAACTGTTGCAGTCTCGTCCAGAAGAGATAAGACATTTGAAAATGTTCTGTTCTCAGTGGCAAGAACAAAATCAGTGAAGATTTAGAAAGCTAGCGTATCAGGAAGGGTGTGGCTTAAATTTTTCCCTGATGGGCTAGATTTCCATTTCATTTGGAAAAGATTCTTAACAGGTCACAGGCGACTTGGCTAATACACACCCAGAGTGTACACACAGCCTGTGCTGCACATAAATTGAGTCTTAACATTCTTGCACTTGATTTCAAATATCAATTATTTAAAAATCTGATTTTTTTTCCCCTCTCCATCATCCCTTCTTTTCTTTTTCTTTCACCCCCTGCCTCCTTCTTCTCTCCTAGGTCTGGGGCATTAGCTGTGAGGACAGGGCTGTTTATTTCCGTCAAGGAGTCACGCCGAGCGAATTAAGTGGGAAAACATGGAAGGCTATCACTTGTAGCCGCGACAGCGACCGATCTCAGACGGACAGCTCCGCCAGCCGCCTCAGGTAGCAACAAGCCCAAGCTGGAAATTTGGAAGAGGGCAGAGGGGGAAAAGAACAGCTGAAATGGGGAGGACTTCGGGCCTTCCAAGCTCAAGGTCCCTATGGCAGAACCATAGAGAAGCTCATCCAGAGAGATGAATGTCGCTTGGATTGCCGTCTTGGTCCCGAGATATGGACAGCTGAGATGCAAGATCTGGAGTCCAATGGGCTGGGGCTGCTTTTCCATTTTTTAAATATAGTGGTGCCCCGCATAGCAACGATAATCCGTTCCGAATAAATCATCGCTATACGGGGCCAAAAACCCCATAGGAACGCATTGAAACCCCTTCAATGCGTTCCTGTGAGGGATAAACTCCCCATTATGCGGAAATCCTCCATACAGCCGCCATTTTCGCCGCCTGGGCAAGCAAGGAAACCGCGCGAAAACGCTGCGGGCGGCCATTTTTTTCTTCCGGCGGCCATTTTGGAACCGCCGCTCAGCTGTCTTAAAACATCACAATGCGAAGATCGGTAAGCGAAACACCTGTCGATCATTGCATTGCGATGTTTACCCATTAAAAACATTGCAATGCAATTGCTTTTGCAGTCGCAAAATCCGCATCGCTATGCAGATTCGTCGTTAAACGGGGCGCTCGTTATGCGAGGCACCACTGTAGTACTTTCTTCTGTTTGCGGTTGTTGTTGATCTGGTTTGTAACTCATTCTGTCATCGTTAGCAGCATTGAGAGATAGATAGATAAAACTTTATTACGGTCAAAGATCAACCACAACAGCATTGAGTGCTGTGTGTTGGAAGAAACAACAGGCACAAATAAAACAGGGATGTGACTTTTAGATTTGCAGGATTTCCGTTCCCAGAGGGCGGTCAGGACCTCCCCTCGGGCAGAATCCTGAGAGCGGGACAGGAGAAACCTAAAGGGAAAGGCTTCCTTGCCTCCATTTTTCTGCTTTGTGTTTCGGTTTTGAAGAAGGAGGGAGTTTCCTGCCTAGAAATTAGCCCTCCACTGATAATTGTCATCCTGGGTCATCAAGTCAGTTCTGACTTATGGCGACCCTTTCCTTAGAGGACTATGTCTGCAGGTTCATTTTTTTAAAATTATTTCTGGTTTGCAACTCCCAGAATTCTGCCTTAGGAATTCCAGGAGTTGCAGTCCAGAAACACAAAACTGCACACCTCGGCCGGGCGTGCCCTGCAGAGCTCCGGAGTCTCCGCTGAAGCTTGAAATGTGTGAGCTCACCTCACCCTGAGCGTGCACACACTTTTTAAGGTCTGGTGGTGAGCAGAAAACAAGCAAGGAAGAGAGCTACTACAGCCGCCACCTTGAGCTCCTCGGAGAAACGTCAGGGTATGACCGTCATTAGGTGCTGTAACGTTACATAACCCTAATCACCATAAGGTTACGTAACTGTAATCCTGCAGCGGACAAATAAATAGATAAATCTGCCTGTGTCTGCTCAGAAGGTTGGCAAAATTAAAGAGAGGAAAAGGGGGGGGAAATGAGAGAGAAATTGGGTAATATTGTGGCACTTCAACAGATTTATTTCAGTTTGTGATCTCTCTTGGATCAAAATTTATTCAGATAATTTTTTTTTAAATTTCCCTACCCCCACCCCCAAAAAGTGCCGGCTGCTTCTTCACAGATGACATCAAAGAACAAGCCACTTCCCTCTTCCAGACTGAGGGAGACCTTCCGCCGGAGCATTTAGCATCTCTGGACGCGGACGATGTTTCCTCGGGGGACAGTCGTAACAACGGGGACCCCCAGAGGGCGGGCTCAGGCGCCCCTGCGGCTGCGTGTCCCATCCTCGTCTCCCCCCTAAATGAAGCTGCCCCTGCTCTGGAGAAAAGAGCCAAGGAGGCCCCAGAGGACATGGTCTCAGAGCCCGGCTCCCAACCGGCTGAGCTACAGTGGACTAACATTGACCTGAAGGAAGCCTGCAAGCCCCAGACCGGGTCTGCCAGCCCCTTTGCGGAGACCTCCAGCCTCTCCTCCTTCAGCACATTATCTGGGGGCGTCGAGGATCATTTTGTGACCGACGACCACCCGTTGTGGGCCTGGGTCTCCGGTGGAGCCTGCCTGGTGGATTCACACAGCTCTCTGAAATGGTTTACAACACAATCAGGTGTGTGAGTTTGCTACCAATTTTCTTACGGAACGTTTTATTTGTTGTTAAGTCGTGTCCGACTCTTCGTGACCCCACGGACCAGAGCACACACCAGGCCCTCCTGTCTTCCGCTGCCTCCCGAAGTTGGGTCAAAGTCATGCTGGTAGCTTCGATGACACTGTCCAACCATCTCATCCCCTGTCGTCCCCTTCTCCTCTTTCCTTCACACTTTCCTAAAATCAGGGTCTTTTCCAGGGAGTCTTCTCTTCTCATGAGATGACCAAAGTATTGGAGCCTCAGCTTCAGGATCTGTCCTTCCAATGAGCACTCAGGGTTGAGTTTTATACTATGGAACATTTTATACTATTTATTTATTTTTTGGGGGGGGGTTGTTAACACTGTGATGTTTTGGGGCCATAGCTCCCAGAATCCTCTCTACATGGATGTTGCTTTTCAGACTACAAAGCTCATAAACTCCCATTGGCCATGGCAACTAGGGATACTGGGAGGGGTAATCCAGGAAAGTCACTTTTCCAAAGTCTTTTTAAATTGTGTTTGCTTATTCATGTTGATATCGTTACCACTCATTTTTCAATGCACACCATCCTTCCCAAGGCTATTTACAAAGGCAGATACAAATACTCTGTAATAATGATAAAATATCCCACCAGCTCTACTCTGTCACAGATGACAGCAGTTAAAAACCAAATAAAAGCTCCACGTGTATTGATATCATAAACATAAGATTTATGGGATTTAAAAGGCTTAAAGTGAAAGATGGTGGGCCGTCGTTACCTAACCTTGGATGGCCCGTTTCTCTTTTCGGCTGTAGCCACCGCCTCTTCCTCCTCCTCGGGGCAGTCCCTCTCCCTGTCCATCACCCCGGTGCAGACTGCCACCTGGCGAAAACAAATTTTCGAGCAGCTCAGAGAAAGAACTCGGCGGGAGTTAGAGAATTTCCGACATTACGAACAGGCTGTTGAGCAGGTAAAGCCTAGCAGCTGTCATTAGGAGGGGGGCCTTCCAAACTGAGCAAGTTTTGGGAGATTCCAGAGGTCCTCAAAGACATGCTGAAGTGCTTTGTATTCCTTCTATAATTTTATTGTTTCATAGCACTATTAAATTGGATTGTGTGTCTCTTGAAGCGTTTTGTGTAGAGGTTCCTTATAAAAGCAGCAATAAGATATAAGAACATTCTGCTAGTGGACTGCTGCAGACTAGTGTTGAACTTATGGTTGTTAAATAGGCATAGTTACTCAAGGAACTGGGTAGAAATGGAATGCTTATGGTTATCATTTTAGGAGGCCCATTCAGGAGAAAGAGCCCTAAAATTCATTACAAAAGTTCCTAAAGCTGGCTTCTGTGTATTCAGGTGTGCTCATCCCATTGCAGAGATGCTTTGTGAGCCTACGTCTCTAGTTAGGTGGAAGGAGGAGGGAGGAAGGGAGCATAACATTGTCAATCTGTATGTAGATCTAGAAATAAAAACACAACTGATGTATCTGTCCGCCTCTTGCTCCCTGCTCATAGTCCGGTCCTACTATGTGTTGCATAGATCTTCACACTGAAAAAAAAAGGTCCATGTAGGGAAAGGAGAAGATGTTTGGCTATTGTGTCTTCACCTAAATGTGCTTTGTGTGTTGTTGCCTCTCTAGTCTGTCTGGGTCAAAACGGGCACTTTGCAGTGGTGGAGAAACTGGAAGCCTTACAAATGGGTGGATGTCCGCGTGGCCCTCGACCAGTTCACCGACGACGGCACACGCGACAGCATCCTTTTCATCTATTACATGCACTACGAGGAGAAGAAGGTACGAACAAACAACCCCAGAGACTGCATTGTCCCATAAGCCACAGTTCAGTGTTATGCGCTTGCACAGAAAATAACACCGGCTCTCAAGAGCTTCC